CATACTTTGGTTCTTGTCTGAAGTTTGTAACTGAACTACTTGTAAATACTGTAAATTTCACGTTTTTACATTGAAATAAAAAAAAAAATCTCAGAATGCAAATGCATATGCTCCCCTCTTTCTTACTATTACTATTTGCTTTTGTACTGAAGACTAAATCTGCTTTTGAAGCTTGCTCAGTTCAAGTTACATGTGTATGCTTGAGCATTATTGAAAATGAATAGAAAACACTGTGGGCAGTATTATGTGTGTAATTATATGTAGCCAGTTACTGGATTCTCCTTGCCAGCTGTATGGGCATGTAGAAGAGCTAGTTTTAAACGTAGGTCACTTCTCATTTGTCAAGGTATCCTTTGGGTGAAATACCACTCGCTTCAGGCAGCAGTGGAAGTCTGACTTTGCGGATGTGATTTACATTGACATATTTTTTGATAGAGGTCTCTCTCCTGTACAGATGTGAGGTGGTGACTTTGCTGTACTCCAGTAGTTGATCTTGGAGAGGGATGAGGGCTGTTTTGGGGGTTGTTTTGCAAGTTAATAGCAACTCAGTTAATTAGAGGAAGGGTGGAGGGCATGTGCAGTCCCATCCCAGAAGACAGGAACTGTAGGTAGTGGTGTGTGCTTTCTGCTACTAAATTTGCTAGAGTTGAGGCCATTGAAAACGACCGCCACGATTGCACCCTGCTGCAAATGCAATTAAATGCAAACCCAGCAATTTTATTTGAGAGATGCCAAATTTCATTTCCTGTGAGAAAAAGAACATGGAACAAAGCTTTTTGGCTGTTGTGATTTAACCCGGCAGGCAGCTAAACACTACACAGCTGTTTGCTCACTCTCCCCCTCCCAGTGGGGTGGGGGAGAGAACTGGAAAAAAAGTAAAATTCATGGGTTGAGGTAAAGACAGTTTAACAGGACAGAGAAGGAAGGCAAAATAATAATAATAAAAATATACAAAGCAAGTGATGCACAATGCAATTGCTCACCACCCGCCGACTGATGCCCAGCTAGTCCCTGAGCAGCGATTGCTTGCCCCCCGGCCAACCCCCCAGTTTATATACTGATCATGATGTCATATGGTATGGAATAGCCCTTTGGTCAGTTTGGATCAACTATCTTGGCTGTGCCGCCTCCCAGCTTCTTGTGCACCTGGCAGAGCATGGGAAGCTGAAAAGTCCTTGACTAGCATAAGCAGTACTTAGCAACAACTAAAACATCAGTGTGTTACCAGCATTCTTATACTAAATCCAAAACACAGCACTATGCCAGCTGCTAGGAAGAAAATTTATCCCAGCTGAAACCAGGACACTTGCAAGTAAGTATCATGGGGTGATCTAAATTTTTTGGTTGAATGGTCATGTTGCAGTAAGCTCGAAACTAACACCTCTGAGAAGTGTGAAAACCAGTTATGCTGAGCATGGAGGATTCTGTCCTGAAAAGCTCAGTGCACTCATTCCTGAATGGCAGGAAACTGCAGCCACACAAGATCTGAGATGTCGTATTAAAAAAAAAACACCAACAAAAAAACAACAACAAAAAACACCAAACAACTCAAAATTACAGGGTGTTTACAGATTCAATAGCGGTATTTGGGAGATGATGGTGGTGCAGGCTGTTGTTAGAATAGAGTGAGCTTCTAGAGTTCGCAGTCCTTGGATGATACGGAGATGATATTGAGAATTTGAAAGACAACCACAGAACTGAGCCACTGGCTGGAAAGTGTGATGCTTACGAAGCTGCATCATGCAGAAGAGATGAGTGAAAGGCAGTTTCTTTTTTTTTTTCTTCTCTTTCTTTTTTTTTCCTTTGGCCAGGGAAACCCCTGGAGCTTGCATCTTTCCAGGTTTTATTGCCCGAAGTAGCTACCAGAACCATTCACGCCTTCTGCAGCCCAAGCCTTGATTGCAGATGTGGGGGCAAGCATCCCAGTTCCTTGCATCTCCCTCCCGGCGCGTGCCTGCCAACCTCTCGCCCTTCTCGTGCTGCGTGGTGAGTCAGGCCGGCGCAGTCTGCGGTCCAGACAGGGCTTCGGTGGCCAGGCACAGAGAGTTCCAACCGCTGCCGATGAAACAATGAATGCGTGGGTCTTATCCTGCCCACACGGGTAATGTTTGAGGCGTTGCCTCAGCTGCTTTTGGTGGCGGTGTGTTGGAAAGAGGGAGCATTGGCACTACCAGGCTTTGAACCTTCCTTTCTTTACTGTAGTAGGTGGACCAAGAGAGCGTGAGCAATGTTTGTGTTGTACCTCTCTACCAGGCTTATCTGTGGTTTCTGCTGGCTAAGTGATCTCCTGGCACCTTTCCTATAAAGATTACCTGAGCAAAAGCAATGAACTATGGAATATGAATTCCACGTGTCTCTAAGCTGGTGGGTTTTTGTCTGTAGATGATTTGGTGAGGGACCCACAACCTGAAGGCACACAAGTCTTTTCTCAATGGGCTTAAACAAGCTACAGCACTTCTGAGCAGTAGAGGGGAAAAAAAAAAAAACACATGGCTTTGCAAATGAGAAAAAATGACAATTTTAAAGCAGCTTGTCATTTAAATAAAAGGCTTTGAGCTGTTTTGGGGTTTGGTATTACCTACAGTTCCTAATGAATGTTAGTGTTGGTTACTAAATTCCTGGTGCAATTCAGTGTCTTGCACATCGTTAAATAAATATTGTATGTGCAAATAATGACTTGCTCCACAGTGAGCCTTCAGCAGGTCTTCATCTTTATGTTCAAATGTTTCACTGTCAAAGTGCAGCTATGGCATTGGGAATTTCTAACCGTAATCTTTAAAATGTTGACCCGAGCCCTTTAACAGTGAGGGTTGAACAGTTCGTACCTGTGGGCAGGAAGCAGTGAAAGCATGTGCTGTGCCCTGAAAGTCAGCCTTGCTTCCTCAGAAACTTCTCTGTAAGAACCCATGTGATGCAATGCCTCTTCCCTGAAGGGCTGTGAAAAAAAATCAAAAAAGTCCCTCCTGCCTGACTTGGGGGACGATCTTTTTTTTTCTTGTTTTCTTTTTTTTTTTTTTTTTTTCTGTTTTTGTTTTGTGTGTGTGTAGTGATTTGTTTTCCCACTCCCCCCTGAGGTGGCGAAGGGCACATGACAGACCAGAAGAGGCTGAGGGAGCTGGGTCCCTTCAGCTGGGAGAGGCGACGGCTGGGGAGGGGATCTAATTGCAGTTGCCAACTACATAAACATTTGCAATAAAGACAGACTTTTCTCTGCGGCCTCCAATCAAAACACAAAAAGCGGCTGTCGTAAGTTGCAGCGGGGGAATCCCGCTAAGAGATACGGGGGAAAAGCTCACAATGGAAGTGGTTAAGTGTGGGCTAGCGCTGCTCTGAGCGTTAGGCTGGGCTGGATGACCTCCGGAGCCCCCTCCCAAGAGCGGCTTTTCTGTGAGTCCACGCTGGTGCTTAGGAGGGTGAAAGACTGAAAAGTACGGCCCCAATTGGGAATAGTCTTTGGATCCAGAATAATCTGAACCACTCCTTTTTCATTGCCAGTTTCTGTGAAATGCCACACACGAGAGAGACTTGTCTGGCCTCTGCCGGTTGCTAGAAGTATTCTCTGCATGTTTCAGGAGGTTCTCCCCTTCCTTCATCTTCCTGCACGCTCATCCAGGTGTTTAAGGGAAACCCACCCTCACATCCACTGCAAGTATCAGAGACACACATCTGAAAAGCCAAAGGTGATGCTGCAGAAGCAGTTCCAGGGTTAAATTTTCTCCTCTTATGGATAGGAAACAACTCATTCAAGAGAGAAAGAAAAAAAAACCAAAACCAATGAGGCGGTGCTGTGAGTCAGGCAGCCTCCAGCAAGAATGTACATGACCCCTACCTCTGTGTAGCAATATCCAGTCCTCAAGAGAAGGAAATCTGTCTACCCAGCATTCGGATAGGTTTTTATTCCAGAAATGGAAAAAGTTCTCATGCCCGTGGTTCTATGTCGGTTCACAGAAACATCAGTACTGCTGTTTCACAAAAGTTTGGATCAAAAAGATGCTCCAGCGTAAGCTAGGATGAGCTAGCGGTGTAACTGCTTCGGTGGACTCTGCTGGGGAAAGCAATACATTTTCATTTTCCATTTCTTCATAAAGTACTGTTTCGGAGTATTCTTAAACAATATTGTTTTTTACAAGTTCTCATATTTTAAATAGCATTGCAGCGCACGTCATCCTATAGCGTTCCTCAGTTGTTTACATTTTTAAATGTACTATACATGTATTCTATGAAACCCAAGACGTGTGTGTATGTACATGTCTGTATATATGTGTGTGTGTAGCTGGTGTTTGACTATAGCTATTTCTACCACACAAAGCACTGAAGCAGCATGACGGATGTTGATGAGCAGGGCAATGGTATGGATGCTGATAACCTGGGGATTACCAGCAGTTGTTTCAATAATCACAAAAACTATGTGAAGAGTTACCGATTACTTCAGGCTGCCAAGTCCAATCGCAGATAAAGCACTATCAGAGTGCAGCGCGCAGGAAACCCCAAGTTTTTCCACGGGATGAGCATCTCTTTCCCCGTTTCACCACCTATCAGAGCAGCCTTTTCTGAGCGAAACCCACTGGCGCCAGGCAGGCTGGCCCTCAGCTCTGCGTTCGTAGGAGGAACCGCCATCAAAAGCGATTTTAGCAAAGCTCCACACTTCAGCTCCTGGCAATGGGCTGTTACACGGGGTACAGGAAGGTGTGTTGGTACAATTCAAGTAAGCAAATACTCAACCTGTGACTAAACTCGGATGACATTTCAGTCTGGTGATCCGTTTATAAAAGTTCCCTATTCCTGCACTTGAGCTCGTATAATATGATGAAATACTAATTGCATTTGGTGTGGGGAACTACTTAAAGGTCATTGATTTTGAAAACACTTTTGGGAAATGGATAGATAAAAAGTTCCCAGCCGGTGATGGCAGGGTGGCCTTTCTGCCTTCTACCTCCGTTTTGGTTGGGTTTTCTTCTGCATTTCTTCTCAGTTCGTTAATTCCCTTAATTGGGTTACCTACTTAATTATGCAAAGCTACACATCTAGCGTTTTAATGTATCTGCTGCAGGTTTGGTGCTTGGATAATGAGGTATGGGTGATCAGCTGAACTGAGAGCCTGTGCCCATGAACCTGACCGAGGCCAGCTTCTTGATTAGATGTTGTCCGGTTTGCTGAGTATAACCGGTTGCCTTTAAATAAAAAAACACCTTAATCTGAACCAGAAGTTGCACCTTTTCCCAAAGTAAAGAAGATTATTAGGCAAATTTTTGTTTCTGCAGAGAGGTAGCCTTCACATCCATTATTTCTCTAGCGGGCATTGTTACATAGTGCTGTGCTATGTCATACAAAATTTGGGTTTTCTCTTCTTGCTTGTCAACAGGAGCTTGCAAAAGGAGAATGCATCCTGACTTCTGCCCAGATGCACTGGTGCACGAGCAGCGAAGTACACATGGATGTCAGCACCGGGGAGCTTTTGGGGAGGGAAGAGTGAGGGGCAAGGCGGGGCAGCAGGGCCAGCAAGGTCCCAGCTGCCTCCAGCGGCACCACGTTCGCCGCCCACAACCGACTCGGCTGAGCTTTCCACACATCCCGGCAGCACGAAACCTGGCTGCCACCGGGCAGGCACACACGTGGCATTAAAGCATTTACAAACGCAAAGCATGATTGCTTTCTCCGGGGAGCTCTGGCATCCCCAGCCCTGCCGTCAGGCTCGCAGGGATGTGCATATTGGAAAGGCAGGATTCAGGACAGCGGCGACAAACGCCAATATTTGTGCAGGCAGCGTCGCGGCACACCCACACCAGTTGGGGCATAGGAGTCCTGGCAGTCTGAAAGTCCAACATAGAGTGGCACTTTGGCCCGATGGGCTGGGCTCACCTCCCCGTTCCCTGCCCAGAGGCTGGCAGTGCCCCAGCCTCCCAGCATCTCTCCAGCAACCAGCGTGGTGTGGATGCGCTGCCCAACAGCACGGCTGCCAGCGATTTCACAGTCCCTCGTTCCTCCAATGATATATTCCTAGATAACATCCTGCCGCAAACAGACCTGCAAACTCCATCCACTTGCATTCGACCCGAAGACAGACCACCAAGTCAGACGGCATCCCATGGGTAGGTCTTTTACGCATTTGCAGCAAAATTTGTGCTCTTCAGCTCTGAGCAACTAGTGAGCTGATAAATAAATAAATAAATACATACATACATACATAAAAAAAAAATCTTAGCAGGGCAAGCAAGCAAGCTTGTGTGACAAATTTATGGGATAAAGCAATATTGCCAGACATCATGTGGGAATTAGTGCCTAAAAAAAAAAAAAGGACTTTTTCATGCTGGTTTGGTTCATAATTAGTTCCAAACTTCAGAGTGACCACAGCTGCCAAGTAAGAACAATGGCTTATGTTTAATTTAGAGCAACTCCCATGTTTTCCAGCTCAATTAAACCAAAGCCAAGCCGGGGATTTTGGAAACCGCTGAAAATAAGGGGAACTCTGGAGTGTTTAACAACTACTTCCTCATAAGACATGCCCAAGAGGAAGAGAGATGCTCTTCAGTCATGGAGCTGCTCTCCTAAGCATGAGGGGCATCACGCTTTCCTCCCTCTGCTTACTGATGCACCTGCTTCAGGATGAGACAATGAGTAAGTAAAGGCTTTCTGCTCTTTTCCTATGTGGGGAGGAGGGTGCTGGGTATGTCATTGAATCTCTGGGTGAGTCAAGAAATCTCTGGATCTTTTTTGGTTGGTTTCATAAGTCCAGTCACTTGCAAATTAGCCTGTTAGTTTGTCTTTCAAGGTTCTGAAATGCAGATAAAACAAGCGTGTTGCCCATTAAATTTCCTCATGGATGTATTACCAGTTGCAGTTCAACTAGTGCAAGTATTACCTGATTCTGTGCTATGCCAGGGATAAAGCTGCAGTCATCTGGGTCACAAAACCCAGAAAAATGTTAGGATTTGGATGCTTCAGAGAGGTCGTTAACTGATTCTGTCATCAGTAGCCATCACTGTTTGAAAGTGGATTATCTTGAAAATTGTCAGGCAGCTTTTTCCAGTAGTGCAGACTGGAAAGTCAGTGAATCTCAGGTTATTTTTTATTAGGCAAGAGCTGATAAACACAGCTGTGGCAACAGTTAAACAAGCTATAATCCCTGCAGGTTAAAGCTGAGCTCTGGAGGAAAGAGCCCTCGACTTTAACTACTGATGGGGCTGCTTACTGCAGGCTCTGCATTGATCCGAAGGGTTTGTGTCCTGGGATGCCCATCAGGCATCTTTCACAGCAGTAAACTCACTAAGCAAAAATGAAAAAAAACCCCAAACCACATAAATGTGTTCCTTTCATAATACTAAATGTGTTTGTTCTGTAACTGCTCGATCTCCTCAGTGTGACTTGGAAAGTTTTGAACATGCAATCCAAGAGATTTCATTTCCCTGCAGCCTGCTAGTCATGAAACCAAATGAGCTGTAGCAACACACCCCAATTTCAGTACGGGGGAGTGTGTCTGTGACAAACACATCGTTATTGTTTCTTATAACTTGCAGCGATTTTAGTTTTGGAAAACCAAGACCTGCAAGATTCGATTAAGCCGCAGAAGGTAGAGTTTCGTTCATTAAACTTCAACAGCACTTTGCATTGGCAGCCTGGAAGGACCAGAGAGGCAAGAGACACGGTCTACTTTGTGCAGTACAAAGTGTAAGTACTGGGGGAACTCCAGCCTCCCGCTGGGCTGGGGCCCATCCCTGCTTGGCACATCAAAGGGATTTCTCAGGTGACACAGGATATTCTCCCCATACCCAGGGAACAGCCACATCCTGCTCAGCTTCCAGCTCTTGGTTGTTGCTGCACTTATCAATAGCCCATAAGGTGCAGCTGAACAGCCCGAGGCAGGCAGGGAACAAGTACCTCCAGCAACACCCTCTGCACCCTCATTGCACCATAGACTTGCAGAAAAATGTAGTTTGCAGGGGACCTCTGGAGGTCACCGGCTCCAACTGCCTGCCTGAAGCAGGTCTAGCTAGGTCAGGTACTTCTGCAATAGGACATTTAAGGTATTTTGGTGGCCCACCTTGCCCACGACAGTGCCACAGGGTGCCTCGCACGGCAAACTTGAGGCAGCGCTAGGGGCTGGTCCTCAAAGGAGGTACGCTCCTGTCCCTGGCACACCTGGCGAGCACCTGAAATCACTATTGCCTTTGAGAAATTAGCTGGTGGAAACCAGCATTCTGCCCATCATTGAACACACTGGCTAAGCCAAAGCTTGCCCACCTCTCCCAAGGGGCAAGTATGCAGTGGCTTCCTACAGGGCTGGTGACCCACGTCTCTGCTTCAGGTTTCTTTCAGAAAAGACACAAACCTGTAGCTCCCAAACACCCATGAAAACAATCTTCCCTGTCATCGAGTTGAAGGGTTAGTTTCCACAGCAGAACGCCTGTCAGTACCGCCGAGTTAAAACAGGCGGTTAAAAAGCTGTACAGACCCAGTCGGCGGTAGCTAAAGCTTACATCCTTCCTCCTCTTTCTCCATAGGTATGGGCAGAGCACATGGCAAAACAAAGATGACTGCTGGGGGATTCAAAACCATGTCTGTGACCTAACGAATGAGACCTCTGACATCCAAGAGCCTTACTATGGCAGAGTGAAAGCCATGTCAGCTGGCGTCTATTCCGACTGGAGCCTCAGCTGCAGATTCACTCCCTGGCGAGAAAGTAAGTGCAAACATATGGGTCTCTCTGAGAAAGGAATTGGATTTTCTGTGGCATGGAATACATCAGTTCTGCTCACAATTTGTAAACATGAGTAATCTTTTTCTAGCTGCAAAGCTGTACTAAAAGAAGTTGCAAGTCAATAGCTCTCAGGTGAAGTGTTGTGATGAAATAATTTTCCCCACACTTGCAAGCCAACCAATTATGGATAAGCAGCCACTTATCAACAATTAGGGGATCAGAAGTGCCTGGCTCCCTTTAAACTCAACCTCTTCCTCAAGGCATGGAACCATACAAATTATTTTCAGCCTTTTTTGGAGCTGCTGGAAGGACTGGACACAAGGTGGAAAAGAAGGAAAAGTTCTCTGCTTGGGGCAAAAACGGAGAAGAGAGCTGAGAGCTGTGTGGCCACCATTCTTCTTGCATTTATGTGTTTTCCTGACTGCACTGTGTTTAGAAAGGATGTGCTCAAAGCTTTTAATTAGTACAGTCATTACAGTGCCATAGTATGTTAGAAATTGAAGGACTGTCAAAACGCTGAGCAGTACCAGTGTACCTACCAGTAAGTTCCCCATGGATTAACCAGTTTTCCCTCACTGGTCAATGCAAAATTGAGTTGTGAATGTCAGCGCAGATCACTTCGCAGCCCTGAAGTGCAAACTACCTTGAGTCTCCTGCACAGATGAAACCACAAGCTTTGACATAAGGCAGTACCTTGCAAGCAGCAACAGCCCATCTTGCCCTGTGCCACCTCCTCCTCCTGGAGAGATGCGTGGGGCAGCTGCTGCGCTGTCTCCCCCCATCTCTGGGCCTGCCTGCACAGGCATGCAGGCGCTAGCTTGAACCCTTAGCTGTTTAACTAAGCAGATTGCAAAAAATTTGGAAGGAATGATTGAAGCTGCGTCCTTGGCATAACTGAAATCGTTCAAATAGCTGGTTTATGCAGTCCAAGCACACAGATAAATATGGGGGGAAAGGAAATCAGGGCAAAGAATCCAAAGCATTTTGCTTGACCAGCCTGCAGTCAGCAACACAGAGCTCTGAGAGATTTAAAAAAGTTTGGCTCAAAGATAGATTTACAAACACAGGAAATGTCACCCCCAAAATGTCCTAAGCAATAGCCACCAAGAAGTAAGGATTTACAAAGTGGCACTTTAACAGTAAATACAGCATAATATATTGTTTGTAACATGAACATTAAATTGTTGAATAGATTCCAGTTGTGTTCTGTGAAACATTATTAATAAACTATAATTGTGATCATAGCTTTGGGTTTTTTCCTTAGCTATGATAGGTCCTCCGACGGTAACTGTGGTTCATAGCAACAAAACCATAATACTAAAGCTCCAGGCTCCACGTTCTCCTTATAAAAGGAAGAAAGGCAGCAAGATGCCAATGACAAATTATTATGATCTGCTATATCAAGTCTTCATAATTAACAACTTGCTAAATGAGGTAAGTGCATATTCAAATATGAACCCTTTACCATTGAAAATCCAGGAAAGTATGGACACACCATTCTTATTTTACAGTTGAAATAGTCTTCTGGGATTGTGAGAGCATCGATGACTCTGCAAGTATTTGAAAACAAAGTAGGCTTATTTTTCAGGAATTGAATTTGCTTGAATTGAGTTGTAATTCTTCCCTTTATTCTTTCCCATCAACTTAGTATTTAATACTCTAAGACCTAGATTAAAAAACTAGGACAGGAGGGAGATTTGGGGGGGGGGGAGATTTTCTTTAAAAACCATAAATAAGTCATTAATGCTATTGACTCTGTGCAAGTCCACATGCTGCTCTACATCCTCTGTTCTTATCAAACTTTACTCACAGACACACTTGCTAGGGTAAGGTGGTTGACTAGTTGTTTTTACTCTGCTCTGTCTGAAGCAACACAGAGTCCTGGTGTATGAAGGAAAAGAGAAGGTTATTAAAATAGAAAATTTGAGGCCTGGAGTCAGCTACTGCATCGTGGCTAAAATGTACATGCCAATGCTGGACCGCAGCAGTGCCTACAGCAGCAGGCAATGCACCGTGCTGCAGTGACAGAGCTGGCAGCTCTGCGACAGGTAAGTCACCAGCTGAAACTGGAGATGGCTCTGGAAGTCAAGAGCTCTCCCCTCACCAAAGGCAGATACTCTCCAAAAGGAGAAAAAAAGGTGTGGCATAAAACCTGCCATCCCATATGTGGTGGTTTGATACACCTTATGACAATATTAGCCAGAGTTCTTACATCCTCTCAGCTAGTTTCACACCAGGTAAGAATGATACAGCCAAGACTAGAGGAACGTCGTGGATAATTATTTGCATGTTGGTATGGTCCTCAGAAACACCTCCCTATTCCCTTTCTTTAAACAATTTCTTCCCTTTCTTTAAACAATTATACATAGTATTGCTTTCATCAGTTTTTATTGCTGTCAAGTAATAATTAACTAGGAAAATGAGTGAACTCCAACTTTATTAACATGCAATTCTGCTGCAAGCTCTGCAATTTTGTTCAAGAATTTATCTGATGTATTTAATTCAAATGAACCTGTCCTCTTTTCATGGTCATTCTTCAGGTGTAATGTGTTTAAAAATAAATCTGTTACCAAATTTCATGAGTTTCCATGGGCCATAAATGCAAGAGTTAGGTCAATTAGCTGGTCTGAAAAATCTGTTTGTTTACTTACCTCAACCACTAGACTATCTTCACCTATCGTATGCCCAGCAGAGAGATTTACTGTCCATCCTGCCCTGCAGGTGCTGAGGCACAGAGTGTTTAAAGACCTAAGCCAAAGTTGACTTCAGTGTCATTGGCCCTGGCAAGCTCAGATTTGGGCCCTTTCTGGGGGTAACAGAGGAAAACGGGAAAAGCATCAAAGCTTGAACCTGTGCTTCTGTTCTCAGTTCAGTACCCTAACTATAAAAGATTTTCTTTCTTCTGCTTCATAATACAATGCATAATGTTGGTCTCTCTTGAGACTCGGTCAGTGGGTTCAGGCTAAGGAGGGAGCCAGTTTCTAGGTGATTTTCCTGCATTTTTGCTTGCTTTCCCAGCACTGTAAAAGGCTGGAAGATCAGGTTAGAGCTGGACTTCTGAACAACCTGCAGAGGTACAGGAGGGATGCAGGCAAATGGCATGTGTTGCCTTTTCAGTTAAATTGAATACCATCCAGCTTAAATGCGCACTCCAGCAGCAATTCTCTTTCTCTTCCCAGTTACAGAGATAATGGTGGAAGATGCCTCCCATCACAGATCCAGCTGTAAATCAACATCTGTGGTCTATGGAATACATACTTGGGTACTTTTTAAATTAACCTTTGCTGCATTAAATGATTTGATTCATCACAATCGTTATATGCTACACAAATGCCAAGGATTCTTTGGGTGTCTTATATTACAATTTACAATGGTATATATTTGCATTTACAAAGAAAACAGTCTTTAATATAAAAAAAAAGCCATGCAAAAAGCATTTGTGAAAATATCCTTAAGATTGTTTCTAGGGTTTTTCTATTTCAAGCCTTGGGATTAAAATACAATTTATAAAATAGAAGTTTCAGATATTTTATTTCTTCTAGAACAAAGGCTGCAACAGAACATGAAAAAAGTGTCCTTTCTTTAAAATAAGAACTGCACAGTACAGGAGCATACCCCACACTCACAGTGTCTTCATAGTGCCTTCAACCTAACATTTCTTATAATGAGTCCAGTATGTGATTAGGCAGGAGCTCATTTAAACTGAAACAGAAAAGATCCTTGCTTTCAGTCAATGGCAGACAGTTGAAGGGAGGAGACCCCCTATTTCAACCATTTCACAGTAAATGATGAACGAATGCTGACCATCACCTGTAATTTCTAATGATTTTACTCCTACTAGTCTTCATCTCACAAGGGAAAAGATTTCTTGGGCAAGCTCTGGGTAGATATCCACTAAGCCATGCCAGGATGGAGAGGAGAAGTGGCTTTTCCAGATCTCCAAGGTCTGTAAGTAATGAGAATCCTAATATTTAACTGCATTCTGTTATGGCAAATTAAATGAGGAGGTGAGAGTGGGCCAGACACAAGAGGGCAAAGCAAGCCCTGGGAAAAATGGAGCTCCCTGCCACATGAGCTCTATCCACTTTTCCCTTAATTCACTTACACAAAGGTGGATCAAGTCAGTTCAAGTACCAGACCTTGATTTCACTTAAGCCACATCCAAAGCATTTTTCATGGTCTGGCACTGACACTTCACCTGGAGGCTGCACTACCGAGAGCTGCATCAGGATGACAGCAGTGGGCGTTTGGGAGGAGGCTGTGCTTAAGTAAGCGGGCGCTGGTTGCTCTTGCCTTTACCAAAATGAAAGAGGGCATTACATATTAAATATTTCTACCATCTGATTCTAACACATGATATATTTGAATGACTAGACTTGTAGGCATCCAGCTATGTCCACATATCTAGTCCCTAAAAACAGGGTTTTTTTTAGTATGCTTCCCTTTTTGCTCCTTTCCCAATTATTCCAATTGTTTTGCCCCACACATATCCCACAGTTTCTTAATTTAGGTAAGTTTTTTTGGGAAGCAAGGTTTATTAAATCTCTGTATAGTACCTAGCACCATGACAAGTCTCAGATCCAGCACTGCCCTGCCACTCCTCTTGCACTGGGCAGAACCACGATAAAACCATCCGGGCAAATTGTTAAGAAATACCCTGTCTTGTATTTCAGCAGTGGTGACTTCATCCACTTGTGGGTTATCACTGCTTGAAAACGGTATCTGTAGTAATTCAAGTTCTTTCTCAAATTCACTTTTTTCCTTAGGGCAGCTCATGCTGCCATTGTTACACAAAGGTAAAGCTTTATTAAGATAACATCTACTAAGCCTAGTCAGGGAACAGACTCTGACAATGCCAGATACTATACCTATGTCAGATGCAGAGAATGAAACTGTTTAGGGCTCTCAAATCTTAAAGAAGACATTAAAAAAAAAAAAAAAAAAAGAAGCAGAGCCATAGGAGTACCTGAAGCATTCAGACCTGGCTAGAAATATAGCAGCTGCCATGCTATGGATCTATGGAGACCTTGGAAACCTGGAAGTTTTTCAATTTGATAAAATTATAAAAAATGTGTGGCACGTATGCTGGGAAAAGCAATAAAAGGCCTGAAGAAGTCTTTTGTTGTTATGTTTGCTAACCAGATTTCACTTCCTCAGCAACAGCGCAGGCTTACAGAAAGCAGCGTAAGAGTTGCAGGAACAACCCGCTTCCATTCTGACAGTACCAGGATTTATTATTGCCAACCCCATGATGTTCTGCAAAAGCCAATTTTCTCTTGCCATTTGAAATGCAAATTTCCTTTCAGCTCTGCTCTGACATGTAATTTTACTGGGGAAGGGTTTGGTAAAATGACTGGGGCTGTATTTTTCCTCCGCAGTCAGCGGTAGTGGCGTGCTCCCAAGACATGCTCCGCTGGGCTCGCAGGGTGGGGCTCCTGCAGGGAGAGGTGCTTTGCTGTAGCATATACCGGCTGGGTGATCTGCACCCACAGCTTCTAGGTAGCCTTGGTAAATGCTGGTAATGCCATGGTAATGTTTTTAAAAGCAACTTCATTGTGCCGTAGCCTGTATGCTGCACTGCTGTTTACATCTCCATGAGGGTGGAATGAAGAGCTCTTTAAACTACAGCTGGGGCTTTCCTGCAGGCAAGTCAGTTTGGAAATACCTGGAAAAGTGAGCTCTAGCCCTCCTTCCCCTTCCTCCTCGTGGACACAAGGAGACCATCTGCTATGGGTCCTTCTCTCCAGCGCTGCTGGGGCTGGCACACAGCTCTGCAGTGGTTTGTGCACGTGCACACCACTCGGTGCAGGATGCCTTTACATAGTTGGCTTGACTCCTTCTGACGATAAGTTTGTGAGAGCCAGCTGAAAACACCCTTCTCTTGTTTTTTTACTCACTTACAGAGCAGGCATTTTCTAACAAAGGACCAAATGCCAGCTTCTCTTTCAGGAAAGAGGGAAATAAACGCTGGCTTCTAGGGCTATGGCACAGGGTGGGGAAGACCAAGCAGTGTAACGAAAACAGGACTTGTGCAACCTATTCTGTAAGCCCTGGCCTGCCACGTCACTGGGGGATGTCTGCAGTCACGGTCACGGGCTGTCGCAATGGCTGCATCTGGCCAAGTCCTTGTGTCGGGGCTGAGGGTCCCGCCAATGAGAAATAGATATTATGTCTTTTAGAGTTTGAAGTTACTGATCTTCATGTGAAGTGGAGCCCATCCCACAAGGGCCTACCCTTCTTTCTTTCATGACCATGGCTGGACATTATCTTATTTGCTGGATGGAGTAAGAGCTTATCTCCCACTGTAAATGGCTTTAATTTCCCATTCCACTGGCACTCAGAAGAGCAGTATTGAACCACCAGAAATTCAAGAACAGGGCTCTGGAAAAGCTGATAGAGCAACAGCAATCGACCAGATGCTCCAGCCTTATAAATTAGGAGAAGATTATGCATAGCCAGCTGTACTATATAAATGCCCAGTTTTATATGATGCCATGATCCTTGGTGTTTATCATATGGTCTAGCATCTGGCCAGTCCTGTTCATACCTCCCATATATCTGCTCTAATCAGATGTGGACTTGGGGTTTATTTACTTGTATGACTTGATCTCTGCTAAGAACTGCTCTCATGGCCCAGGGGTGGGGTGCTGTTGTGAAATGACATTGGCTTTTGCCACAGATCTATTATATGCTATCAAGTATTCCAAACTGCAGGGAATTAACAGTAAATAGGTGGGGTTTTCTGTGGATTTTCTATGGATTTCAATGTTTGCTACAAAGATCAACGATAGTAATCTGTAAAGTCTGTCTGATAAGAAAAAGAAAAAAATAAAACCCAAACTCCTGAGAGTTAGTTTGCCACAAAGGAGGCAGGACACAAAACAAGGGTACTTCTGCAG